TCCTCAGTGCATTCAGAACCATCACTTAACTTCTTATGCGTTCGTCTTGGGGAAGAGAGTACCTCAAAGCTGGGGACACAGTTAACACCTCGGGGGCCCCTCCAATGACAAGCTAACAGGACATCGGATGACGAGTGTATTTGGTGTGCTGTCGCCTAGTTGTCTGATTTGGATTTCAACTTCCCTAAGAAAATTATCCCGATTTGTGCAGTGCCAAGGAACCTGTTTGTTCAGACACGTTGAGAGCTCTCATCCCTGCCAGTTTTCACAAAACAGGCCGGCTCTGCGGAGGGGTGCACGTTTCACAGAGGTAGGAATTACAGAAAGAAGCCTGCCAGCCTCTCCGTGGGACAGCGCTCAGCTCCATCTCAGCCACAAAGGAGAACAAAAAGCAAGGTTGCTCTAATACTCCCGTGCCAGAGGAAATATTAGGGTAGCTCAGACCCCGCTGGGGCTGAGAACCAAGGCCACGTGTGTGGGGGTGGGGGAGGGGGAGGGGGAGGTGGGTTCCCTCTGGATCAAGTGCTCAGATTGTTACTGTTGCCGAGAGCACTTGTAACAGAGGCACCTTGGCTAAGCTTCTGCCTTTAGATCCCTCTAGCCCCATTTCTGAAGAGCCCCAGATACCCGGTTAGTTACGTGGTAGTTACCTGCACTAGTTTAACTGAATTTTTATTAGGTTTCCTCCCGTATCATCATAAAATACCGTCGCTGTGAGAAACTCTGAAGAATGTTTTTATCAAAATGAAAAACTAAACTCTAGCTTTTCCATGTTAAAAAAAATATTCAATGAAAGATCTGTTTGAACACTGAGATCAGTAGATTTCAGTTTAGTGCCTTTGCTGTGTTATGTTCTGTAACTGCCACAAGGGTGACAATTTTACTTTCCTGCTGACATGAACGTTGCCGTCAGAGTGACGCCTTTGTGACAGCTCAGATCCACCGCCCGGCCGGACAGTCTGGGGGAGGTCCCATTGTCCCACTGCCTTTGTAATGATCTGCTCTTAAAAAGTGTGGCTCCAGAAATCACCTGAAAGAGAAAACAGGCAATTAGCAGGCACTCTTCAGGGACGGTAAAGTGAGCCTTCTGCTGGAGGCAGAGATGAGAATGCTGACGTGTGTGAGAAGGGCCCCGATGGTACATTTCCTCAGCGTCTCAGGTGACTATTGTAACTGCTGTGATGTAGTCGGAAAATAGATGTGTTACTTACCCACATACACTGTTGTGAGAGTTTGTGACTCCGCCTCGGTAGCAGGTTTAAAGAATCCATTTATATGCTGCAGAGAAAAACAGCATGGATTAAGGAGCCCATATTAGGAGTTAGGTGCCGCTGCCACCCCTAGGGGTAACTTAGAAGGGTCAGAAAAACTAAGATGCCTTGGCTGATCGCCAAGAGAATTCTTTCATGAAAACAAAATGCATTAAAAAAAAATGATGATCCGTGAGGGACGAAGTCTACGAAAAACAACAGGGCAAGAGAAAAATGACCAAACTCCTATATGAGCGTGGGGGACGGATAATGATGTGGAGAATTTCAGGTTGCCATGGAGATGTTCTCCGGCTCGATGGCTTCAAGGCTGCACCCCATCAGAAGCCACCTCTCCCTTCTAAGCTCGCAGTGAATGTGGTGGGGGGTGGGGGGTGGGGTGTCCGTCATTTACCTTCTCCTGTGCACCTAGAACTACAGGATGGAGAAGATCAAAGAGGTCTTCAGCAGGGCCGCCCGCTGAAAACGTTCCAGCTGCCAAATTGTACACATGCAGTGGCTGTAACGCAGCACAGCTCAGAAAGTCATTAAATAGACGGGAAGTGTAAATAGGAATTGGAATCCGAGCTCAGGAAAGACATAGGTGAGCATGGACCAGTTACCAAGAAGGCCTTATGGCCTGAGAACCTGGCTCAGAGTAAGCACTTCCTGAATGAGCAGAGAGGAGTGTCCCGGGGAGGAGAAGGCTGGGCAGGGCTTCCAAGACAGCAGTGGCTGTTAACAAGACGCGAGGAAACGCTCAGTGTGGCTGAGGGACGTGGTGAGGAGGTGGTAAGTTAGGAGGGTGGGGCCAGATTCTTGGGGACCTGCACTGAGATTTGACCTCATAGGCCCTGGAGATTGATTTGGGTCTGTGAGTAAGATGGTGATGTAATGAAAGCCATGGTATATAAACTTCGGTCAAGGGTTAAAGCTCGGGGGTAGACTGCGTGGAAGTGAAACTGGAGGCCCAGAGAGGTGGTGAGAGCCTAGATGTGGATGGGGGATGTGGTCACTGAGAAAAAGAAATGCTTGCAAGGAAGCATTCACAGCATTTGATAACAGAGGGGGAGGAATGGAAGGATAAACTCCTCTCCTAAACAGATAGTCCCCAGGACCCCGTCTGAAGCGCAGGAGTCAGATCTGGGTTTGGGCTAGAGGTAGGGTCTGGTCTTACACTTTGGGGCATTCAGCAAAAAGAAAAACCAATACTGCAGAGGACTTTAGGGCAGTGAAACTGTTCTGTATGATAGCGTAATGGTGGATTCATGCATTATACGTTTTTCAACACCCGTAGAACGTGTAACTCCAGGATTGAGCCCGAACGTAAACTCTGGACTTCGGGTGATAATGACACATCAGTGTAAGTTTCTCGGTTGTAACACATGTGCCGCTCTGGTGAGGGATGCTGGTAGTGAGGGAGGCCCATGTCCAAGCAGGAGGTATGTGGGAACTCTCTGTGCTTTCCACTTAACTTTTCTGTGACCCTAACATTGCTCAGAAAGATAAAGTAAGTCCATTAAAAAAAAGAACCACAACACAGGTAATGTAAATTGCTGGAGTTGGCATCAGAGACCCAGCAGAGAGCCAACATGTGTTCTGAGTGTTACCACCCTAAGTCACATGGACCCTGGTCGGATATAAGCTTTATTCAGCCAAAGGACAGAGAAGCAGAAACTAAGTTCACAAATCAACTTCTCGCCCACCTGGCAAGAGGAATTTAATTTTTAAGAGTGAAGACAAAGGGAGGAGGAGTGAGGCTCACGATGGGGAGGCATATACATTCATCTATGGGGAAGGGGCAGGGCTTTGTCAAGGCAGTGGGTGTCACCCCCTTTTTATCCTTTTTCGGTCCTTAATGTCTGGTCATGGCTGGTAGGTGTGTCACTTAATATGCTCATGTGGTAAAAGCAACATGTCGTGAGACTCGGGGTCTGGAGAGGTCAGATTCATCTCCATCTTGGTCCCAGCTGGTTCCATCTGGGGTTTTTTGTTGTTTCTTTGTTTGTAGCTTCCTTTCTTCTCTCCAGACCCTTTAACTTAAAGATCTATGTTAACTACTATTAAAGGTGAGGGTTGGAGGGTTTTGAGCAAAGACCTAGAGCATCTCTGGCCGCAGAAGGTCAATGTTTGACAAAGAAGAAGAACACAGCACGTAAAGGCAACTAAAAAGCCATACAAAGCGGAAGAAACGTGAACATCGTGCAAATGAACTAGAGAAGGAAGAGCTGGTTAGAGGAGGGGCTTCCTTTAAAGGAGACCTCAGGCCTCACCCAGCAGTGGAGACCCGTCAGGATGAATGGGAGGTTTCAGGCAGGAGGAATGGGGGAGGGACACGAGCCAGAGACCCAGCGCTTGATGACGCACAGTAGGGAAATCCCGCAGCCGTGTTCCTCGTTTCTTTGTTGGAAAAGTTAAATATTCCGGCGTGTTACCCCAGTCTTGCCGGTATTTTTATGGGGAAGAAGGGACAGAAACCAAGGTCTTTTCTAGCTGCAGTGATTTGTGACCCTGGAATCGAGTATTTGCTGGGATCCTGGTTTGTTTATTTGTTTGATCGATCGATTAAACCCATTTAAATGAGGACAGTAGTTTCGGGTTGTAATGTCATTGGCATGGTCTGTGTGATTTTTCTCAGCGCTTTGACCTCTTAGGATAAAAGGATGCTCTGACCATCTAATACTGCAGTAAGGAAGAAGACCCCGTTAGAATCTGAAAGGAGTCAGTTCAGAATAAGTGTGTTCAATGAGTTAAACAGTACATGATTAATATCACTACTTACGTCTTATCTCCCACTCAGGGGGTCCTGGCTTATGCTGGGTATGTATGAATAGGTCAGGTTTATTGATGACATAAAGACCCACAATTCAAAAAACAAGTTTGCTCTGATGGTACCTAAAGTGTGCAGATTTTTTTTTTAAATGTATTGGAAGAAGTGTTCAAAGGCACTGTCTGATAAGTAGCGTAGTGTAACTTGCGGTCATTTCACACACTCAGATCAGTCTCTGGATGAATTACCTTCAGCTCCCAGCAGAGCTGGTGCCGGCCAGGGTTACCGCTTTAATAATGACATGTCTGGTGTTCATGTTTACCAGCTAGCTAATCAGAACCCCAGAGAATACTTGCCGTGTTTGCGTTATTACAAGGTAGACATCATTTTACAACTAACTTCATTACAACTGGAATGTAATCAGACAGCATTACCTCTTCTCACTGCAAAGCTTTAAAATAATTACACAGAGAGATACATACAACTTTAGGTACCATTTATGCATACACACAACACATTTCCATAAGGCTGCATAAAAACACTCACCCATACATATCCAGACAATTATTTTGAGGTATCTTTGCCATCTTTACATTAAAAAGGGATTGTTTTGTGTAAATATTGTGTGAAATAAGATTTTACACTTGCTCTTTCACCATGCAATAAATTTACCATGCAATAAAGAAATCTGATTCAGAAATTAGGCACCGGGGAATCCATGTTAAAATCACAGTAAATGTATATATTTATCTGCATGTATTGAGTGTATTCTGAATTGCTAACTTAAGAGAAATTATGACCTTTTACCTAGAGGCAGTAATTTGGAAATGCAAAAAAAAAAAAAACTGAAACAAAACAAAACAAAACTTGATTCCCTGTGAAGCCGAGTCTTGAAATTGTGCTTCAAGTTTGAGTGAAAGGAGAGACTGTCCTCTGAAGATCTCGTGCTTGCCCGATAATGTTTCCCATCTCTCTCCTCGTAGGCCACGCAGTGCAGATTATTTTATGCAAGAAGCTAAACGAATGAAGCATAAAGCAGATGCGATGGTAAGGCCTTTTCTCTCCAGATCCTTTCCTCCAAATTATGTCTGTACCGCAGCTTCATCACGGGGGCAGGATAGCTGGGGTAATTATAAAATCTATTATAAGGATGGCTGGGTCTGTTAAGTGGAGAAATGTTTATATAATCCAGTGCTCATCGCCCAATAAATTATGACCTCAACCAATGATGTCTGACTGGGAGGGAGCCCTCGGTAAACAGATATTTTCAATTTAGTCCTAAACTTTGAGTAGTAACCAGAGGCAGTGGAGTCAGGGGGTGGTAGTCTTTTTTTCCTTAAAAAACAAAACCAAACCAAAAAAAACACAAAAAAACAGAACACAGTTTGCATTTTTCTCCCTTGTTAGCCTGGCCAGCCCTTGGCTTGGTCCCAGGATCAAATCCCTTTTCAAAAAGATTTGTGTTCTTGTTGTGAATCTGCCCAAATGAGCACTTGCTCTGAAACCGGCAGCGCAGAAACTCTTATTCTGCCCCTAAGACTCCAGAGTTGCTGTGACTTGATGTTTTCAAAAAATAACTTTCCTGACTTGGATAATCTATTTTGGAAAGCTTGGAGCTTGCAGGCAAGAGATGGAAAACTTCTGTTTGTTTCTGGAAGAGATCACGTGGTAGTTCCATCCGACGATCTCGTCCGAAGGGATTCAACCCTACCTGGTCTCTCGCGTCCTGTTCCCTCCGGTGTTCAGGACTGAAATCAGGGTGCTGGAGATGAAAAAAGCGTTTCAAAGGACCTTCAGAGTATTATTCCAGGGTTGAAGATGCCGGAACCATAACCGCTTCCCTCCCCCCATGCAGCTGAGGTTGCCCATCAAGCATTTATTTGTACGAAGATCACCGCCTAGGTACACTGGCGTCCGGAGGAAATAACCATGGGGTATCAGAAAACAGACATGGAAAACAGGAGACAGTCCCTGTCCTCACAATCCCACAGTCCGATGGGGAGTTCTAGTCCCCTGAAAAGGCTGGTGCAGGGTCACATGGCACTTCAAAGCAGAAGGAAACTTCCTGCCTGAATCATCCAGGGTTCACCGGGATTCCTCACTCAGTCTCCTCGTGTCCAACCTGGCCTTTCCTCACGACAGTCTGCGCCACCTCTCAGCACAGTTCACTCCTGCCAGCCTGCGGGCCCTCTGCACCTGCAGATCCTCACGCTCACACCCGCGCAGCTCCTCACAGACACGCTGTCCCTCTCAGGCACACTCGCGCCCTCAGCATGCTTCCCCAGCTCAGCCAGGTCACACTGTTCCTTCCCACTGTCTGTCTCAGCCCCAGCCTCTGCAGCCCCCTCCCTCGCTGCCTCCTACCCTCTCTATCGCATTGGACTCCTTGCTCTGCATTTTGTTAGTTAATCGCAGACTGCCTTGCACCTTGAACTACCTCTGGTGAGGGCACAGTTTTTTCTCTCTAAATATATTGTCTATTCGTGGAAGGAGCTTTTGTGTGTCGAGTGCAAATCACACAGAATTGGCTACTTTAGAAAATGCTTGTTGGAAGAAATGACGTCCTCCATCTGAAAGCGTTGCCAAGAAATATTGCTCCTCTAGCCTCTTAGGTTTATAAGCTGGTTGAAATTTTGATGTGCTCACGCAGGGGTTTTGCTCCACATTTCTGTTTCCTAAGGTATCATGACAAATGAGAGGGTTTTTTCTTTTAAGAAGCGAGACTTAGATTAGTGGTTAAGAGTATGTGTAATTCTGTGTTGACTGATGAATGAGTGTTTGAAAACGGAGGAGATTACGCCATCCAAGCTCAGAACGTGTCATTAACCACCAAGAGTAACAGTGTGTGGAGCGACGAACCTGATGTATGAGTTTAGATTTATGAGAACCCAAGAATGCAAAGCTGATGCTTGGTTATCCAAGCTGATACGGGGAAAGGTTAACATAAATTTAGACGACCTAGAAAAATCACTTTTTATTAATTTTCAATGATGTGTCCCTCGAGCTGAAATCACGCCTGGAGATTTACCTACTTTCCCGTCCTCTCCTCGTTCTCACCCTTAAGTGAGCGCCTAAGTGTCAACAAAACAACTGAAAAATACACAAGGCAAGGGAGGCGTGGAGATGTAAATGTCACAGTGTAAAATGTGATCACCAAGGCCTGAGACCACCCCGGTGGGAGTTTACCAAAAAAGGGTGAGGACTCTTACGTGGAATCAGACCTGTCACCTCTATGTCTTGAGCACAGCAGGGAGGGGCAAGGAGTGAGGCTGACAGACCATCAGGAGTTAGAACGAGAAGAAAAGAAATGAAAGCAGCCCTGAAGTTCTGCGCGATTCTGATTGGCGGTTGAGTTCTGGATCTGGTGTCCTTCTGCATAACTTGCACTCACTTCCTCTAAACCAGGAGGAATTTGTGACAGTAATTAGAGGAGGGAGTATCCTGTGTCTGTCTCCTCTCGGGCCCCATTCGCAGGGATTTGGAGCTTGAAAGTCAGGTTTCTCAAATGCAGCGTGTAGATCATGGGGCAATGCTGTTTAGCAGACTGTTCTGAAGGAGGACCCTGTGTTGACTCTGTTGATCAGGTGGAAAAGTTTGGAAAGGCCCTGAACTACGCAGAAGCAGCCTTGTCGTTCATCGAGTGTGGAAACGCCATGGAGCAAGGCCCCATGGAATCCAAGTCTCCCTACACAATGTACTCGGAGACGGTGGAGCTCATCAGGTACGCGCTGCTGCCGCACGTTCTTGCTCGGGGGCTCCTGGGGGTGCGGGGGGAGGGAGAAATGGACCTAAGTACCGTGAGCCCAGAAAAGAATGTCAGTCTGCGCCATCCGCCACCGAGAACCCATGTTCATCCCGCAAGTAAGAATGGATGGTTTTGCAAGGCATTTTTACCTAGCCTGCCTCCTTTGCTCTCCGTGTGAGCAAGCGGGGCAGCTCCTCTGAGCCCAGTGGCTGCAGGAAGGAAGTTGGGTCTGAGTCTGATGTGACCTGCCTGTTCCTCCCAGCTGGGAGGTGGTAGATTTTGAACTCATTCCACCTCCATGCTGCTTTTTGAAAAATCTGATTCAGGTTGGTGTCATCTAAATCCTAGCTCCATCAGCAAGTGATTCAGGAGTATTTAATGAAAGGGAAGAAGATTCATGGGGGATTTGGGGAAAGGAAATCCATCCTAGGATACACTCACTCTCTCAAAAGGTACTGGTGGTTTTTGGATGCAAGGCTGGACATGAGGACCACCCCCAGGGTGCAGTCATGTCACGTGAGCAGAGGCAGGATTCCAGACAGGGGCGCATTGAGGGTCTGGATGGGAGACTCTTGTCCTCCACAATGTGCCCTGAGAAGGCACATCCTTGACGTCCACTTAACAAACCATTAAGGGAATTTCATCCATTAACCCTACTGAGAACCTTCGTCATCTGTTTTATGTCTTTAGCCGGTTCAGCTGCTTGGGATAACGTCTGATACCCATTATGTGATGTAATTCTTCCCAAAACTAATTCTTCCCAAAACTAATTTTCTAATTCTGGGCTTCTATGCAACCTAAGAGTAGATATTTCTTTTACCATGCCCCAGTATTCCAGTTCGAAGATTGCTAATCATCCTGGGTTAAACCTTCTTGGTATGCGCTGGCCCAAATTTGCCCCTGGGTGGTTTGCACCACTCTCCTCCGGTGAACGGTGAAGGATGACAGGCTTGAAACTGACATCCCAGCAGCAAGAACACATCATCCTAGAAAAGCGCTTCTCAAGAATGTTTTGAAAATCAACACTGTCCAGCCATTTTTTTAATTAAAATATTTCTACTATACCAATGTATTGGTGATTCCTTCATACTGTTTTCTCATGTGGTGCAATATTTTGGGCAGTAAAGAAATCACCAGAGTTTAAAAATAAAACTTAAAATTACTTTAAGAGATCCTAGATTGTCACATTTCTTCCTTAGAATAGAGCACTGACTCAGATGCCCACAGGCAGGCAAGGAAGAAAATGGGTAGGACTGGACAGGAACAAAATAGTAAGGTGTCCTGGAACATGAGTGCGTTGAACACAGGGATTGCTTTGTTTTTTGTCTGATCTGTTGATTCATGTGTTCAAAATTCCTGGAAGAGTTCCTGGAACATAGTACATACTCAGTGAATATTTGAGGAAGGAACAGATAAGCAAGTCACAGGGCTGTGGTGAACTGGAGTATGCATGGCCTGCTTAAAGGCATTCAGATTTTAAAAAGCAAAGAAACAAACACATCCGAAGAACAGTGAAAGCCGGATGCCAGTCAAATACAGCTGGAGGTGCCGGTGTGCACACCTGCTCTGCACCAGAGATGAGACTGGTGTCAGTGACTTTGTCTGGGTGGAGAACACAATCCATTTTCTAGATGATTGAATAGAATCCCTTAAGCTACTCAGAAAATTAAGATACAAAGAGTGTGTCTGAGTTAGAAAATAGCTTTAATCTACCACTTAATTCTGCATGTTGCCCACCAGGTTTGAAACTCCCCTCCCCGCTGAGAGACACAGGGGAGCCAGGAGCACTGGTGAGGTGGATCTTGTGACAGGTGTCCAGCTTAGAATATGCTGTTTGTCCTGGTGGGCAAGAGAATTCCTTTCTCCACCAAGGGACACCAAGTGACTGGGAGACACTGGCAAGTGGATCCCTGCTACCGCAAATCAAAACTGCACCACAAAGGCTCTGAAAAGTAAATTGTAGTTGGAACCACAGCCCACGAAAGTAGGCTGGGACTTGCCTGCTAAACCTAAATGGAGTGACTTCCTTTTAAAAGAAAAGACTTAAGCAGGGCCCAGGGTCTCCTAACATGGCAGACAAAATGTCCAAGATACAGTAGAAACTCACGCATCACACCAAGAAGCAAGAAAATCATAACTGAAATGAGAAAAGGCAGTCAGTTGACGCAGTGATCAGGATGAGTCATGCTGGAATTATCTGACAAGGATGTTTAAGTAGCCATCAAAAAATGCTTCAACAAACAATTACAGATTCTCTTGAAACAAACAAAAAAATTAGAATCTTGGCAAAGAAATGAAGGTTTTTTTTAAAAAAGTGAACCAAATGAAAATTATAGAACTGAAGAATATAACCCCCCCAAAAAAAGTGGATAGAGCCTCAAGCACAGTGACAGTGGGGCCAACATGTCATCATTGTTGGAGTCCCAGAGGGAGGGAGTAGGACTGAACGATTTCTTGAAGAAGTAACGGCTGAAACTCACCAAATTTGGCAAAAGCCATAAACCTACAAGAAGCTGAGAAAAAGCCCAAGTAGCGTAAACCCAAGGCAGTGCATGCTGAGACACCTCAAAACTACATTTCTGAAAACGAAAAACGAAGAAAAAAAAATATTCTGAACGCATCCAGAGAGGATCGACCCATTATCCATAGGGGAACATCAATCCAAACAACAGCAGACTTCTCATCTGAAAGTGTGGAAGCCGGAAGGGAGTGGCACGACGCTTTCCCAGAGCTGAAAGCAAAAGTGGTCAAACTGAATTCCAAATTCAGTGAGACTGCGTTTTTTAGAAATGAACAGGAAGTAAAAATATTCTCAGACTAAGTAAAACTTAAAGTCTTCGTTTCTAACAGACCTACCTTGAAAGATTGGCTAAAGGAAGTTTCTCAGATGGAAAGGAATTGACCAAAGAAGAAATCCTAGAGCAACAGGAAGGAAAGAAGAAGAACTTAAGAGCAGAACTATGTCTACATGCCCTAAACTCTCCTCCTCATGAGTTTTATAAATCATAGTCAATGATTGAAACAAAAATTATACCACCATCTGATACAAAGGACAATGTTATTTAAAAGCAGGGACGTGGAAGGACAGCCTCCACGTTTCAGAGAAGTAGAAAATGTTGATAGCAGTCGATTGTGATAAGCCACATACGTATATCGTGACACCCAGAGCAACCACTGTGAAACCGGTGCAGAGATACACTCAGAAACACTACACATCCGCACGCTGTGGAGACAGTGTAATATCACCATCACTTCTTGAGGAGTTTGCAACAAGCCAGCCCCACTGTGCCAAGAACTTTGCAAACACTATCGCAGTTAACCCTTACAGCAGTGCTGTGTGATCTGAAGTTTATAAGTAAGGAAATGGAGGCTTAACGATGTTCATTGGTCTAAACTCTCACAAGTAATAAGTGGCCAGCGTGGGATTTGCACCCAGGGCTCCCTGAGCATCCCACATTCTGCCTCAGCTCTCTCTAAGAGAGCAGGTAACTTGGTATATTATTGGAGAAAGGAATGGCTGCCATCCCCTGGTTCACAGAAATAAGTGAAATTGAGTGAAGTTCATAAAATCCACTAGTTTTGTACCCAGGACAGTTACACCACTGTCAAAGTGAGAGTTCCATAACAATAAAAAAAAGGTGGGGGGTGTAAATCCAAGCATTCATCTGAGTTCAAGAAATAAACGTTTTTCTGGAGGTTGGCCTGGGAGGATTGAACTTGGCCTCTGCCTTGTCAGCCACTCAGCCACAAATCACAATTTGTGAAAATGGAAGTGTCACTGCATCTGTGGATGCTGGTGGAACCGATACCACTCTTGGCGGTCCGTAGCATTTGAACTTGTGTTGTTAAAGGGCAGAAAGTAGCTAGACGGTCATAAAAGCCATTTCGTTCCAGTCATCACAGTAATATAACGCTTAGGGGAAACAGGGCAGCCTCAGCTGGCTTTTAAGAAAGAATTATCAGCAAGCACGATGAAAAACGAAGTATTGGGCAGAGAGAACTTCCATCATAGAAGATGCTCTATTGTCAATAAGAAAGCTTTTTTTCTTGGTTTTCTTTTACTTTTTTTTTTTCAAAGGTATGCTATGAGACTAAAAACCCACTCAGGCCCCAGCGCCACACCAGAGGATAAACAGTTGGCTGCATTGTGGTGAGTGTATCCTGTCAGCTTAAAAGAGCCTCCCCAGCCTTGCACAGCTTCAATGGCAAACCCGGTGCCGAAAGGCATAACATTTCACTAGTGCCTCCTAATGTGCCAAACCAAAGGCAATTGTGATGGTGGCCAGGGAGAGCCCGCACCCTGCTGTGCCATGTGTGAGGTGAATTCACAGCACTTGGACATCAACAAGTCCATTGCACAAGGACACATTCCTGTGTGTGTGTGTGTGTGTCTGTGTCTGTGTCTGTGTCTGTGCCTTCACTTTAAAGTCAGGTAGGTCTGTGTTTTAATCATTTGAGTGTGAGTGATGCCACAAGTAATCTCTTGTGTTTATTAACATTTTAGACACAATCAGAATGCTCCCTCTGTCTCTTCACCTATTAGTGTGACTGATCAAAATGGTGCATTCAAGTTCTCAACACATTAAACTGAAGAGCAGTTCATTCCACTCTGATAATAAAAGCATTTTTAAAATGTTAATCAAGGGATGGGGGCATAGGCGTGGTAGAGCGCATGCTTAGTATGCACGAGGTCCTGGGTTCAACCCCCAGTCTCACCATTAAAAAAATCAATCAATAAATAAGCAAACAAACCTAATTACCTCCCTTCCCCCCCAGAAAAGAAAACAACCACACACACAAAAAAAAAAACACTGGAGAAAATCAGTGAAACCAAAAGTTGGCTCTTTGAAAGGAACAACAAAAATTAAGAGAACAATATGAAAAGGAATATCATGTATATATGAAAAGGAACATATGTATGTATATGTATGATTGAAACATGCTATACACCAGAAATTGATAGAACATTGTCAAGTGACAATATTTCAGTGAAAAAAATTTTTAAAGGAAACCAATAATAATTCCATTTTATAGTAGCTTCAAATATAAAATATTTAGAAGTAAATTTAGCAGAAGTACAGGCAAGACTTGTGTACTAAAAAGTACCCCCAAAAAAGGTAATCAACATGTGATAGGTTTTTTTCTATAATGGTGACGATGATCACGATTATGTGGTTATAATAATCGTCCCCGTTACGTCTCCCCAAGACCCCTCAGCCCACTCCTCACATCACACCTCTCCACCTGCGGCAGCTCACCCTCCCCTCCGACGGCTCACCCTCCCCTCTAGATCCTGATCTGCAAGTTAGAGAATCGAATCTCAAACTAATGATAATGATAACATACACAGGAGAGAAGGTCTCAGGTAGTGTTGTGTCATCCCATCTTCTGCAGCGTGTTGTGCTAAGAAGAGACGGTTACATTGTGTTCGGTGTGTTTCTCACTGGTCCACACCGAAGCTGAGTCAGCAGCTCATGATGAGTGAGAAGCACCAGGGAAAAGAGGATGTGTCTCTGGAAATGCTTTCTGAGTGCTCTTTACAAACTTTACGTTTGTAATTCATATTAGGATTGATAAATTAACAATGCTTAGTCAACATTACATAAGATAGGATACTAATATGTAAATAACAAATATATGAACTGTAAAAAGAATAGCTTTGTATTGTTTATAAAACACATTCATATCTATTACTTTATTTGAACTAATTATGTATAGTCCAGTCAAATAGTTTAAAAGTGAAGGGAATAAAAACAGGTGGAAGGACTGGCTATTCTTTGAGCAAAGCCACTGCGGCAGGTCCAGGGTGTGGGAGGGAAGTCAGAGGAAGGCAACTTTGCCCTGAAATTCATCTGGAAACCCGCTCCCTCATGCCTCTCATGGGGAGAGACTGCCCCCTCGTGGTGGAAAAGGAAATGGCCAGCCCCTCGGCCCCAACAAAGAACCCATAAAGCTGCTTTATTAATTCACATTTATATTCTTTATTTATTCACATTTATATATGTGAAGTGACATCTGTATGGAGTAACTCCATGAAATTTTGGAATAATATTGAATAAAAAGGAAAGTCAGATATGTATGTGTAGAAATATTTAATAGGTATATAACCATGATACAAACATTAAGTGCGCTGGAACAAATTTTTTTTAAGTCTTGTTTGCATCGGACGCACTAATACTTTCGGGGCCTCTTTCTCATTTTGTGCTGCAGTTACCGATGCCTGGCCCTCCTGTACTGGCGGATGTTTCGACTCAAAAGGGATCATGCTGTAAAGTATTCCAAAGCACTTATCGACTATTTTAAGGTACGGTTTGGCTAACGGGCCAGGTGTGGTACCCAGTTGTCTCCCTGTCAAGGACATTTCTAAGGTAGACTCTATTGCTTTGGGGGTCATACAGGAGCCCTCTGATGTCCACACTAACCCCACCTATGACATCCCCGTGGTGTTCAGAGCTCAGAGAATGGCCTCAAAAGCCCATCTCATTTACCCCCTTGCCTGTGTCCAAGTATTTTTATAGCCTCCAGAGAAAGAAAGTCTTGTTACCCATCCCAGGGTCCTAGGAAATCCGTCTTTCTAGCTAACACAAATTCCTCATGTTCACTTAAATCTTCCCCTTAGAAGTAACAGCTCAGAATTCCCTCTTCGCTATCTCCAGTAGCTAATTTAATTTTTAATAAAGGTGTTATTTTAAATGATAAGAAATGGCTTGTTAGAACCCAGGGGCAGTAGGACAGTGGCCATGTGCACACGTAAGGGTAGAGTCGGAAACCATGCTAACGTTTATCTGTCTCGGGGGGTGAGAGCATTTTCACTGGGAGAATGAGAAAAGGAAAAAGAAAGAAAGAAAACCTTTGACGTACTGTGATGAAGTGGACCTGAAGTAATCATTCATTTGAGGTTTCTGGGCCTCTTCTCTGTCCATTCGTCTGTAGAAATAAGAAATTACACCACCTCTGCTTCAACCAACCCTTTGTCAGATACACAACCATCATTTTAGATCCTTTAATCCCCAAGCTCCACTTCTTGGAGATGATCTCTGGTGACCTGGCTCTGCTTGGGGTCCTGTGGGCTGTGTCCATCCAGCAAGCCACCTCCTTCCTGGTCTTGCACGTAGAGTAAGCAGGTGCTAAGCCAAGGAGGTAGGAGGTAGCTATATCGGCCCATCAACCATTGTGTGTCATAATGACATAATGACGCTAAGCCTTTCCCTTTATGTTGGGCACCTAAGGTCAAGAGAAGTAGTTTTCAAAAATGTAGACTCTGAGAGCAAGTACTGAAGAGAGTTATCCCAGGCAAGAAAAACGCTTGACACCATTTACAATAGCCAAGACATGGAAACAACCCAAATGTCCATCGACAGATGACTGGGTAAAGAAGTTGTGATATATTTATACAATGGAATACTACTCAGCCATAAGAAAGAATAAAATAATGCCATTTGCAGCAACATGGATGGACCTGCAGATCATCATTCTAAGTGAAGTAAGCCAAAAAGAAAAAGAAAAATACCATATAATATCACTTACATGTGGAATCTAAAAAAAAAAAACTTACTTACAAAATAGAAACAGACTCACAGACATAGAAAGCAAACTTATGGTTACCAGGGGGTAAAGGGGTTGGGAAAGGATAAACTGGGATTTCAAGATTTGCAGATACTAACTACTATATAAAATAGATCGAGTTTCTTCTGTATAACACAGGGAAGTATATTTAATATCTTGTAGTAACCTATAATGGAAAAGAATATGAAAACAAATACATGTGTGTATATGTATGAGACATTATGCTGTACACCAGAAATTGACACAACATTGTAAACTGATAATACTTCAATTAAAAATAAATAAAAAATGAAAAATGAGAAACACTTGAATAAAGAAGGACTCTGAACTTGGGATTAACAGATAGACATTACTATATATAAAATAGATAAACAACAAGGACCTACTGTATAGCACAGGGAACTATATTCAATTTTTTATAATAACATATAATCTGAAGTATATATATGTGTGTGTATAACTGAATTGCTTTGCTGCTGTATACCTGAAATTCACATTGTAAATTAACTACACTTCTATAAAAAATAAATATAAATATATATAAATATATATATATTAAATTACTCAGAATGAACAGATAATACAGCTTAAAAATCAGAGCTTCCCCTCCAGAAGTTAGTGGTAGTTATCCTTAATCGAAGGCTATTTAAATGCTACTTAAAGTACAGAGATTATGAAACCTTTAGGAGACAATGATAATTTGTCCATAAAAAAATGAGTTTTATCAGTACAGCTGGCTCTAAGAAAAAGGACTTTGTCCACCCATGCTTTTTTTAAGTCCCAGGGCTTTAGTGACAGTGGAAGAGGCCTGAAGGCAATTTTGCAAAATTGCCACATATAAGGCCATTTCTTACCATTTTGATAACACCTCCGCTAAAAACTAAAATCAGTCACCTCTTCATAAAGTTCTTTGTAACCAGAAGAAACACTTTGTCTCTGGAGAACCAGGCTGGAGCTATTTTCTTGTCTCTGAAAGGGAGAATTCACATCAGCATTATAAAGACCATTTTTCCCTTAACGGCCTCATAGACTGATGTCCAAGAAAGCAGAATTGGGCTCACAGAGAGGAAATCTATCTGTACACTTAGCAACTTTCCTTGCCAAAGGCAGAACTCGTCTTTTAAATGCCTGGTGCAAACAACTGGCTCTTGCTACATACCCTCAATTGAAATATTCAAATAAATCAGAATTTTTGAATTCTCTGTCTGTTAAGGAAATCCTTTTTAATCTGTCCTTTCAGAAATATTCGAGAGCAACTTCCTTTAAGAGAAATACTTTTAAGCTTCATAAGTTAAAATGATGACAATCGATGTCTCATATATTTTCGGGCATTCAAAGCATACGGACTGGGGGAGGGTATAGCTCAGTGGTGGAGTGAGTGCCTAGCAAGCACGAGGTCCTGGATTCGAGTCCCAGTACCTCCATTAAATAAATAAATACAACCTAATCCCCCCCCAAAAAAATAACTAGAAAATAAAAAGTACCATTTTCTTTAAAGTATACCAACAGTTTCTGCAATTCTGCATTGGTTTTAATTTAAATATAAGTTGTTCTTAGTGTGTATACGAAGGGGAGGGAAGGTTCCTACTCTTTTTTCCTTTTCAGAAAAAATAAGCTGGTTTGAGGTTTTGTTGTTTGTTTGTTTTTTAATTAGGCTGATTTAAGATTCAGCAGACCCTCAGGATTGTGATTGAATTTGGTGCATAAAATCTGAGGCTGTGGGGTGAGCTCCTCATTTTAGGCCATGCAGCTGCCCCCCGCTGTCTACCAGAGAGGGGGCCAAGAGCCCAGTAATTATAACTTCCCAGGGCCAGTTTCTGTGAATCTGCATTTTATCTACAATGTCTGTCATCCCTCTCTCAGCTGTCACTTGAGAACATGTTACTGTCAGCTGTTTAAACTCAAGCAGAGGATACTCACCATCAATGTTCTTATTTTCCTGCAGAATTCATCTAAAGCTGCCCAAGCCCCGTCTCCGTGGGGGGCCAGTGGAAAGTAAGTGCGTTTTTCCAGCGTGAAGGTGATGAGTGAGATGTCTGCATGAGGCTGGGTGACGTGCTTCTCTGCTTACAGTCCCCTGAGGGGCTGCCCTCCCTCACCTGGTACCAACCTGTCCACTCTTGTTCTCCTACGCCCTCCCCTTCCAGGAGCACGGGAACCCCGTCCCCCATGTCTCCCAACCCCTCGCCCACCAACTCTGTGGGATCTCAGGGGAGCCTCTCCAACGCCAGTGCCCTGTCCCCCTCAACCATCGTCAGCATCCCACAGCGCATCCACCAGATGGCCGCCAATCACGTCAGCATCACCAACAGCATCCTCCACAGCTACGACTACTGGGAGATGGCAGACAGCCTGGCCAAGGAGAACAGAGGTGGGTGTGCCGCCGGGGAGCGCGTGCGCGGCTCAGCCGCAGCGCGGGGAGACCGCCTGACCCTTTCGCATCACTGCCAAGCGTTCGTCATTTACCCAAGAAGAAATAGTAGATGCTGTCACCTACTGTGTGAAACCTCTCCTGACCTCTCCCCTCACTCAGGGCCTCCTGTGCTCTTACGTACCTTCATTTTCACTGTGGGAAAGATCAGAGGAGGTGGAGGTGGAGATGATATCAGTACCAATGATACAGACACACATCACATACACAGACAGACCCACAGATGTTTTTCCCTTCAGACAGTGAGCTCCGTGAAGTTGGGATTGCATTTTACTCAATTTTGTATTCCGAAGACCTGCACAGTGCCTGGAACACAGGCGGGGCTCTAAAACACAGGGTGAATTAATTAACTAATGGCAATGAATGTTACTAGCTATGTAAGAGATAGCTGCTTACAACTGAAAAAAATGTTTAATAGGTAAGCGATATTTCTTTTTTATTGAGGTTTAAGTTGCTATATAATATTGTATAAGTTATAGGTGTACAATATAGTAATTCACAGTTGTAAGTGTTACACTCCATTTATAGTTATTAAAACATATTGGCTGTTTCCCCGTGTTGTACAATATGTCTTTGAGCTTGTTTTATACCTAATAGTTTGTACCCCTTAATCCCCTACCCTTATTATAATGACCCTCTCCCCTTCCCTTTCCCTACTGTTGGTAGGAATGTAAATTGATGCAGCCACTCTGGAAAACAGTATGGAGGTTTCTCAACAAAACCAAAAACAGACTTACCATATGTTCCAGCAATTCCACTCCTGGGTATATATACCCAAAAAAACCCCTGAAACACTAATTTGAAAAGATACATATACCTCAATGTTCATAACAGCATTATTTACAGTTGCCAAAATATGGGAGCAGTCTAAGTGTCCATCAACAGATGAATGGATAAAGAAGATGTGTGTATATACACATATATATACATATATACACACACACACATAATGGAATACTACTCAGCATAAAAAAAATAAAATGTTGCCATTTGCAGCAACATGGATGGACTTGGAGGGCTTTATACTAAGTGAAATAAGTCAGATAAAGACAAATACTCTATATTCTTTTAAAATAATGTTTATTTTTACTGATTATAAAAGGAATGCATGTAAACTGTGGCTAAATTTGTAAAGTATCAAAAACTGTAGGATAAACTTTTTTCAATTGTCAGTAATCTTATCACCAAGAAATCATTGCTGTTAACATTCTACAGAAATTTCTTCTGGTCTTCTCCAAACATGCATGATTTTTACCAAAATAATATCGTAGTATATATACAGTTTTACATCCTGTCTTTTTTTTTATTTTCATTTTACATTATATCAGGCATCTTCTCATGTCATTAACTAGTTCAAAAACACCCTTCATGATGGTTCTGTGATACTGTCATGTGGTGGTTATGCAGTCTTAGGGGATCATGATTTCCCAAACCATTCCCCTATTGTTGGACATCTATGTTACTTACTATTTTTTTCCACTGGTACAAATAATGTTACGATAAATATCCTAATATAAATCATTCTTCATATTTCTGATTATTTTCATAGGAGTGAGTAGTAGAAATAGAATCAGGGGGTCAACATGTATAGATTCTTTCAAGCTATATATTGGTATATATTGTTAACTTTCTCCCAGATTATACCAGTTCACTACTCTTTCTCTAGTCATGGGCAAGAGTGTAAAGCTGAGCTCGCTTTCAAGTCATTAAATGCAAATTTTGTTCCCATGGTAGCGTAAGCCTCTGCAGCTGAGACCAGGATGTCTGTGATGAGGTACGGAATTTATGGCACAAGTAGGCAGATGGGTCCTGAGGACATGAAATTGATCATAACACCAGACAGGACATTACAGTAGCCCAGAGGTGGTGCACCCTGAAAATCCAATAGGAATGGCAGAGAGATCAGTGCCAGGGGCTGAGGCCAGCAGGACAGGGTCACTAGAGGAGTTGGCACGGGACAGGGTTTTGAAGAGCAATTCACAGTTGAGTGGCTGTGATGGCGTGGAGAGAATGTCACAGGTGAATAAAACAGAAGGGGCAGATGCACACAAGTTTACGTGGCCAGCTTGGAAGACCCTGAGCAGCCCAGGCTCTGGATGGTATAGCCAGCTGCCCACTAAGACATCTCCTGGCAGAGCCACAAATCCAGTGCGAGGTCGGCATGGTTTCCCCCGACCTGCCCCTCCTCCCCTGTTCTGCTCCTGGACTCCTGCCACGCTGTCCTCCCAGCCACCTGGACCCTGGATCTCCTCAGTCTCCTGTGCCTTCCCCAGGTATAGGTGCACTTTTGAAAAACTCCTACCAGATTTGTACTTAAAGGGAGCGCAGCTCAGTGATCCAGTTATGACTTGTAGCTGCTTGAATTGCTTTGCCTCCATCAGCCACCAAACGGTGGCCTCTGAGATGGCAGAGCCTGACATCCTGGGGCACCCTTTCCTCTATCCTCCTGCACCCAGCAGAGTACCTTGGCGATAAGAAACATGTGACCAAAGGACAAACCCAGAGAATGTCCAAGGACTAGAAGGCGACCTCAGTAGAGGTGTTTCAGAACTCCTCTCTGATTTGCCCCCAGGAGCCAGGAGCCTTTCCGCAGGACTCCCTCCAGGGACAGACCACAGCTGAGGACAGTGTAAGGAATGACTAAGCCACTGGCCACATTCAGGGTGGGAAGTATTACTGCACCAGGAGGATGCAGTCTGAGGAAGTAGATTTTTTCTGCTCTTCAGCTAAGTAAACGTCATTCATTTGAATTAGAAGTCACCAGCAGAGTGACTATGTGGCTGTAGCTCTCCACTTTAGGGTTTTAGTTTGTTCGATTGACTGCTGATGTCACGCGCTGGAACAGTGACTGCTTGCTTGATACAGAGCGCGGGGCGCGCATCACTCTCACGGCTCTCTCTTCCCCTAGAATTCTTCAACGACCTGGACCTGCTCATGGGGCCGGTCACCCTGCACAGCAGCATGGAGCACCTGGTCCAGTACTCCCAGCAGGGCCTGCACTGGCTGCGGAACAGCGCCCACCTGTCGTAGGGACTTCGCCCCGGAGCCGGAGGGTGCTCTTGTCTTCGCGGACTGCTCCACATTTCTGGACACTGTGCTACTGAAATCCCTGGCCACAGCCACAGCGCTTGTCAAACTGCGGTGAATATTTTCTCAGCATCGAACAATGGTCTTTTTCCCAGGGCGTGTGTGTTTGTGTGTGTGCGTGTCTAGGAAGCTGCCTGTGTCTGTGTGTAAGGTACACAGCTCTTTAGAACACATTTTCTTTGTCTAGTTTCCATAATCCCAGGCTGGACAGAATGATCTGACCTTTCTGATGAGAGAAAAAACACCTACACACGTACACGCACACAAAATCGCAGACACACACACACACACACACGCACAATTTTCTAGTTCAAAGCTAAACCATGACTTCTTAGAACATTCAACCAAAATCTCATGGGTTAGTTAACCAGGTGCAATGCGGCACACCAAAAGCTTGACTGCCAGTTAAGATGAACGTAGTTCTTATACTATTGGTTACTTTCAGTATTAATGTTACTATTCCCCAATTATTTTTTTTGATTGTGTGTATTAATGGGTAATTGAATAATGAAAATAAGTCAGTTATTTTTGTGCTGGACGTTTACTAGATTGCATGTTACCAAACACCCTGCCTTTCGTCTGGTACCAGTGCCCCCGATCCAACTTTACTATCAACTAAACGTCTCACAAGCAAATGCATCAACTCCCACCGGCCTGCCTGGCCCTGCCCTCTCCCCCCAAAATAGTATGCAAATGGCACTGAGATTTAGTGAAACCTCAGCGTCTTAGAGAATTAGCCACCATGAAAGCAGCAACAGCTTTAATGTTTGGGGGTGTTAGGAATTGGAATCTTCTGCACGTTTGGGGAGCCCACCCAGCATGAGTTCCCTCTCCTGCCACTGTGACACGGGGGCCGGAGAGCCACAGGGCATTTGTCAAGTCTTTCCTCTCCGTGATAGCTTCCTTACAAATTCTCTTGGCCAAATTAGGATGTTAGCTGGGATGTCCCTTCACTGGGAATCTGTATCTGTTGCTCATCAGGCCGAGAACTCTTTGCTATCACGATTCTGTCTCATCCTCCGGCTCTGTGCAGAAGGTGCCTCTGCGGGCCTTTAATGCAGTTTGATCTGGGGGATCCGTTTCAGGCTGTAATTAGCAAGCTGCTTGCTCAGAAGAGTGAGTTAATCCTGCAAGGATGGAAGTTCGGTCTGGGGTAGCAACGAGCAGACCGTCGTGCTGACTCCCGGTGCGTCTGCCGTGTTTACGTCTCGCCCGTGATTCTTTATTTTCTCTTTTTTTAATTAAGTTTACATTTTAGTTTTTTGACATCTTGTTTACAATTTTTGTCTGAAATGTATTTCTTTTGTTGTCTCTTGTCATACCCTAGATTTAGTCTTCTTGTTAAATATATTGGGATATAAAAATGTTAGTAAAAAAAAAAGAAAAACTCCTGGAAAATGAAGATATACCTTGCCACACTTTAAAAACAAAAATTGTGACCTTGAGGCCTCTTCCTTGGCAGAGTTGCCCCAAGGTGGCCTGAGTAAGACAGGTGATGTGATGGGTGGAATAACCTATTTTTTGAAGTGATGGTAACACAAAGCATTTGGAACAGATACGGAAGGTCTCATTAGTTTGGTTGTAATGTTAATCTTTTTGTCAGCCTGATCCGTAGGTGGGAAATAAGACTGCTGTAATTCCCTAGCTCTAAGCATTGATTCGGAGCTGTACAAATGACTGAACAACTTCGGTGATTTGAAAGTAATTGAAATGAACAAGGGAAGAGTATGTGGAAATTGCATTCGGCTTTGCCCTTCAAGCATTTGGAAATATTAACAGTAATTCTTTTTTCCGTTTCTCCAACTGAAGTGCTTCTAACGTTCCTTTTAATAATTGTTGCCGAAATTCCCAATCTCATTGAAGTCTAATTTTAAAAAAAAATTTTTTTTGAGGACTGAGGCTTAGGTCTATTCATTCTTGCTGATTTCTGATGAAATGTTCAGGCTCTCACATAAAGCGATGGTCCTCGGGTCCACCGTGCATTCCTGGGGTGCTTGTCTGGCCTTGCCCACCTGTAAGTCGCAGGCCTTGTTGTGGTGTCCACGTGACGTGCTTACCTGGGAGATGCACGGAAACACACAGGTGGCCTCTGGCTGAATGAGATTCAGCAGCACTGACTCAACACTCGGTGAGCCAAGTTTCCAAGAAAACGTGAAGCCGGTCCTTTGGGGATGGTCAGAGCGCACCACTGCTCGAGGGTCTTCTGTTTCATCAGTAGGGTGTGTTGGGACAGTAGGTTTTGTTTGCTTGGGCGTCAATGATTTTGATGGAGAAGCATCTTCTGATCTTTGCTTGTTCGTTTTATTTGGTTTTGTTCGAAGTCGAAATACTTTTCTTGTGTTTTCTGATTACAGAAATAATACAAGCTCATGGTAAAAATTCAAATGATGCAGAAAAGTATAAAGTAGGAGGCACTAAGCCCCACCCCCCGGAGACAACCACTGCTCACTGTTCCGTGTACATCCTTCTAGAAAGTCTCCCATTTAAACATATAATGTCTATCATCCTTTTTTTTCTATTTGAAGACATTATTTCATCAGAAGTTCAGTACAAGTTCAGATGGCCTTATCTCTCCATGACCTGAATGGACCTTGATCACAGTTCTAGAGTTACATTTGAAAGAGAGTAACCCAAATATATTCCTGATCAAAACGTGGGGTTTGTTACTATTCGACACAGATCAGACTTGTGCCTGGGAAGAGAGATTTGGTTAAAACATACTTCTGGAAACTTTCAAATTGCCAATGGAAACTCGGACCCACTATCTAAAGAGGAATGTACTGGAAAAAAATGATCTGAAGAGTTGACCAGCTGTGTGCTAGATTGAACACACGGTGTCAATGCAATGAGACTTTCTGCACTAAAACGTCCCCTAGTGTGTACAACAGCGACCTGTGTATTATATGACAGTGACGTGTACATTTCTGACATTCCATACATAATATACACAGTTTATATAAACGCATACATTTAAAAATATATATGTACAAGACAGCTAACGTAAAACTGTAGTACGCCTGAAGGGTATGACTAGTGCCTAATATTGAGTATAAGTCCCTGCGTGTTCACATCACCTCGGAAGTGCAGTAAATGTTATAAAATTAATCAGTGCAGCCAACATTATTTACAAATCACATCTTTGAAATTGTGCAGTAGTAAATACATATATATTTTTAAATAACATTTTTCACAGTTTTCCAGAGTTACTGTTGAAATCTGTATCACCAAAAAAAAAAAAAAGCAAGATTTTTTTAATGATGTTGACTCTCTTCAGACCCAGTAATCTGTGTGTGATTTCCTGTGTGTAGATACCCAAGACACTTTAGCAGTCACCAGCCTTAATGCATGTACAGGATATTATTGTGACTTAATTTATCTGCAGTTTTTAATCCATGTGAAATTGGAATTTATAAACTGACTTGGATTCAATATGTCTGCCTTTCTAAGGTTGCAAATGTTACATTAAATGATTTATGTTGTAAATGAGAGACATCGACTTGTACGTTAAAAAAAAAATGTCCACCAATTTCTGTGAATATTTTTACAAGGAAATTTCAGAATCAAAATACATTCAAATATGCATTCCGGTCCCCAGTTCATAATCTCTTTAGAATGGACCTTATTGTTTCATGAAATTTTTAAATGTAGCTTCCACAGATTATCCATTACTAAGTCTGATGTTTTTCATGGGCAAAAAAAAAAACTGTTTTTCTTTATTATAGCTATAGTTTAATGCTTGTGTGGAAACACACCCCTAATATTGCAGAAAACTCTGTGTAGGAAGCTTGAGGAGTTTAATTTGATGACTACATTGATGTCTGTCCAAACAGTTGCCCTGGGACACTGTTTCTATCAACGTCCCTTGATAGCCCAAGTTAATTCCCTGACTTGTGTCTACCGGGATTTTCCAACGCTAACCAACATGGTGGAATAGTGTTGGAATATTTGGTTGAGTGAAACAAGAGAATTTTGAACTACCGAAGACAGAAATATTAGACCAGTGGCTTGCCATGATGCATCCCCCCCGTGTGGGAGGGTTTTTTTGTTAACCTCACTTTTTACTCTTCTCTCCCTTCCTTTTCATTCCTCTCCTCCCCAAAATTAAACAAAGGAGCAGAAACAGCAACAAAAACAAAATAATTGCTTCACCTTACCCAGACTATATTCTTAGATTCAAACAGGACAGCAGACCGCTAGCTCCGGTCGCCATGGAGACCGCCTCATCCCAGAAATGGCCAGGACGGGGTCCTTGGCTTTGCTTGCTCCAGGGACCGCTTTGAAAGAGCCTCATACTCTCTCAGAGGTGGTTTGCGCTAAGAAACCCCTGAAGGCTTTTCAAGAACTATCTTCCTCTTGTGCAGTTTTGCCTGCTACTCAGCTGAAGTCTGTTCCCATCAGCATCGTATCTCTAAGAAGTAACACATTTTCAACAAAACCTGGATCAACTGGAATCTTGAAAGACTTTTTTTTTTTTTTTTTTTTAGTGAAAGGGGGGGGAAAAAACCCAACAACAGAAACTGAATTTCCAACAGTTTGGAGCCAGAGTTTATTTCCTTGTTTTCCCATTCTCAGAAGAGCACACTTTTTCAATATTACAACTTCCTGACAAATAGCACAAGAAATGTTCAGACTTGAGATTTGTGTTCTCTTTGTCCAAACTGAATTCTTCTGTATATGTCATCAGACGGGTCGATTTGTTTGCTTGGCATGAGGAAAATGATAAAACTCTGTTCTCAAACTAATTGCCTCTGACCACGGTTTTGGTTTTTATTATTTAATTGGCACTTTGAGGCAGCGGGGGGTAAATTTGGGGTCAGCTGCCAGGGGATTTAGATTCACAGCTCCGACTCACAGTAATGGGAATCAGGAGATTCAATCCCTCTGTGAAATTCTTCGAAAATCCACCTCTTACAGCCAATTTCAAACATGTTGATCTGAGGGGTGAATTCAGGTCACTAATTGCAAGTCAACACAAGGTTCGGCGTTTGTCTTTAAGCATCAGAAAGTAACGGTAAGACCTGAAAAGCTAAATCAAGGACTTGGTTGTTTTTGTTTTTTTTTTTTCCTGCTCATTTCTAACATACGAAAAGCTCATCAGAAAATATTTACATCCAAATAGGATGCAAAATAGAACCAATGTCTAGGATTTTCAAACAGTGCTTTTTGGTTATAAAAGTAATCACGATACTCTAGTTTCTGTATTGTTTTTCAGTCCTTTTTCGGTTTTCCTTAAAAGAGAATTGATTTTCCCCTGAGTATTTATCATCTCTTTATTTCCAGATGCCCAAATGAGCATTTCCTTAACACTTCCCACTGAGGAGTGTGCATTTCTTGGTTGAGCAGCAGCTACCCACAGGAGCCACGTGGATATGGTTTTTTAAAGGACATTCTTGAGTCTCCTCCGTTAGCTTCATGTGCAGTGTGAGTGATCACGAAGCCTGAAGACTGGGCATGTAGCTGAGTTGTCCCAAATCCAGCATGCAACACGCAAGTCTTTAGCGATAGGCACTTTCCTGTCATTGCCTGCCGTCTCTGGGGCCTGTTTGTGTGGTGAAATAGCCACTTTAACACTCTCCTTTGAGCACTTGCCAGACTGATTATTAATCCCGTGATGTTCCCCCAGCTGCCAGCTCAACCCAAAATGTCCTTCTCGGTGAGCTGGCTTGGTCTTTTTGTTCCTCTCGGGTTTTTTTCCTTCTAAGTTCTCTAAGTCTGATTCCGTATCTTGACTATGTAGAAGAATGGTTATTAGGGGCAGTGGGGGCTGTAAGGCATTAACGATTCAATCTTAGAACTCGCCGATGTTCCAAGAGGATGAGCAGCCAGGGAAACCGCGCTGCCCGGACACACTCCTCCTTGGCCGGTTGCCTCTGGGTCTTAAGTAAAGCTCCTCTCCACGCTTCTGTTTCCCCTACGCGAAATGTAACTCCGAACATCACCTGCCCACCTGAGAGGGTGTGAGGATCACCAGCGTGGGGCAAGCATTTGAGAGCCCCAGTTGTCACTGGCAGCAGAAGTGGAGCATCACTATCAGAGCAGAGGCAACGGAAACCTGCCGTCCCTGCAGGCACCGGATGCAAAGGTGTGTGATGTGGGAGACCACGCTTTGTCCCAGCTCTGACCAGGTTCCGGAGGACCAAGAGGGTGACAGCGGGTAGCCACAGGCCCCTCCACGGGAACCTTCAGTCTTTGTTGTTGCCACTTTGAGTCCATCCTGCTGGCAGACCCATGTGGTGGGATGCGTGCCCTGCAGCTGATGGTACAATCTCACCGTCTTCTTCCTCGTCCAAACCTGGCCTTAAGAAAGCGGGGCTTGGGGGAGGGCAGTTCAGATGGGAAGGGGAAGAGGGAACTTGGGGTCCAAGCTTCCAATGTGTGCATCCCCCAGGAGAACATAACCCGCCTACTGAGCACCGGGCCTCAAACATCCTTGTGGGACCAGACGCCCACGGCACAGTCTCGTTTTCTGTGTTCTCTTGGTTTCCTCTGAGTGCCAGGAGGCTGAGTTCTCTTCACGTGAATCTTGTGCCTCGGATGGTGATTTTTGTTTGTTTGGGGCCAAGGGATGGCGGACAGCTGCTCTGGGAAGGTTTGTCCCTGAGAAAGGAGATCTGTCCAAAGGGACTTGGGTATGTCATGAGCTTCAGGAAAGAGGAAATCTCTCCTGAGAAAAGGATGGATTTTGTTTCTCTAGTGGGTTAGTTGCCTCAACATGATTGCTTAATTATAGGCTAAACCTTAGGGAACCAGGGGAGAGAAAATCGACATGAGAACTTAGCGATGTTGTGATTCCCGCCTGGAGATGCACGTTCTAGCCCCGGGCAGCAGGACAAAGACTGGAAACCTGACCGTTGACCTGGGTGTTTCACACCACTGAGGTCAAGGCCCTCGATGTTGGTTTAAAGTTTTTAGCTTTTCCCTAATGTTTATACTATTTAGACACAGGGGCTTCCTGGTGGCCCTAAATCAGTGACCTGGGCTCAGCCACAATCATCATGAAATACTCATTTGAAAGGGCATCTTCTTTGCATCCTCGCTGGAAACCCCTTTCCCGGCCTTTCTCTAGAGCAAAAGAGCCACAGCTGAAGGTCCTAAGAGATTCAGTCTGATTTCAGCCCAAATCAGTACCAGCACCCTTTCCACAGGAGCACAACACTTCATCCAGGGGGAGCTCTGAGTATTTTGGTAGAAAATTCTAGGATGGCAACCTGAGGAGGTGGAGATACACTAGCTAGACCGTCTGATTTCACCTTTTCTCAGCCAGGATGTTAAGGAACAGACATGCCCACGACAGCGTGAGAGCTGCTAGCTGCAAAGGTTGCGTGCGGTGGAGTTTCTCGACCCTCCCACGTAGTTAGCCTCGGTCAGAGCAGGAATTTTAATTCCACCATTTTCCTCTTACCACATCATCTTGGATGTTTATTTGTGGAGCTGGCAATTTGAATTCAGTATTCCGATATCAATGGCCTAGTGTGTCAGATCAAACACCATTTCAAATTCCTGGTCTTAGGAAAGCTGCCAGCAACTTAGAAACCTGCTTATCCCCCCTGAGACAGTTTAAGCAGCCACAAAACAAATTAAAGGGCCTTCATCTTCTCCTCTTACAAGAATTGGTCTTAGGATTATTTCCAGGATCAAAGGGGATTTGAAAGTGGACCATTTTGTACAGTAATTTATGCTGCAAAATGTACATATTGTAGCATCAATTATAAAGTGCTGTATTTATTAAGGTCCCTTATCATTTTCATTTTTGTCTAGTTATTTGCTATTAAAATAGCTTCCTGTCACTTTTGTTACGTGATATTCATTTGGGGCTTCTTGTTAGAGCATTTGGATATGGTTACAAAGTCCAGGATCTGTGTTGATGGTCACGATTTAATCCAAGTAGTCATAATGGTCTATTCAGCATTGACATGACAAGCCCTACTCCTAATGAAATCGTGTGCTCTTTTCTGTGTCTTTAAGAACGTGATACAAATCTTAACCTAAGGAATGAATGAAGAACACTGGCTTTAGGAAGGAACACTTCCCCTAGCTCTTCTTCTCAAAATTCATGAACACTTTTTCCAAGGAAATTCCAGTGGGTCCTCGCTAAGTACCCCAGATCCCTTCCTCCTGTGAAGGGCCTCATCTCCCAGGCTGCTTCTAAGAGGTCTGCAGGCCTGGAGCTCAGCGTAGTTCCACCAAGGTGGTTGCTCAGACCTGCTTAATGAAGCTGCAAATGTTAAATCCCCTTTCTCTGTCTCCCTCTTGTATTAAAAAAAAAATATGGCAAACAAACAAAACTCCCCCATTCAAATCATGAATAATTCATTTGTGAATAATCTGGGCAAGCTATTAGGGAAGAGAGGAGAAGTGCAGCTAATATTGAGGATTTGTCCAGGGGGGTCTTCTATTTTTGCCTGAGTTTCAATTTACATGTACAAGGGTGGTGGAATCATTGGCCATTTGTTTGACTGCTTGGAGATTTTGCTATGTCTGTAAGTCGCATGAAACTCATGTAGTGCAGTTTCTGGGATGAGGAAGCAGCTTACTGTACCATAACAGAATGATTCTTAAGGATTTGTAACAATAGGCACTTCTATATTTGAAGGGAAATACTCATGCATCAGTGAAATTACTTTTTTAATGTCTTAATAAACCTTGAAATCAACATCACTCTGTCTCAAAAACACCCCCCGTCTCTTCCTAGAACTTCTTCTGAGTAAAATGTCCTTTTTCCTGTGTTACAGTGTTTTGTTTAAATGCCATCAACTAGTCACAAATTCTCTTTTCCTCTGCAAAAATCTAAATCCACCTGAACTAGGAGAATGGGTGACAGCATTTTGAAGAGGGGGGAACCAGTCTAAGAATGCTTTTGGCAGAAAAGGTCAAGTCTCACTTTAAAGTACAAAGGAGAGAGTTTGTGTGCGAAGATATGTTTGCAGTTCTCTTGGATGTATACTTAGGTGTGGGACTGCTGGCTGTTTAAGTTTGAAAGGAACTTTCAATCTCTTCTCCGCAGGCGCGGCCCTTTTATACGTTCCCACCAGCAATGTGTGACAGTTCCAGTTCCTCCACGTGCTCATTAACACTTGTCATCGTCTGCCGTCTGCCTTTCTTTATTGCAGCCTTTCTACTGAGTGTGAGTGGTACTGGACTGTGGTTTTGATTTGCATTTCCCTAATGATTAATGATACTGAGCACTCTTTTAGGTGCTTGTTGGCCATTTTAAAATCTGCCTTGGAGAAACGTCTGTTAAATCATTTAGCCATTTTTAAAAGGTTATTCATCTTTCGCCTGTTGAGCTGTAAGGACCCTTTATGTGTTCTGGATACTAGTCCCTTATCAGACATAAGATTTGTAAATATTTTCTCCCATTCTATGGTCATTTTTTCACGTTCTTAATAGTGTCCTTTTTTGTATAAAAGTTTTTCATTTTGATGGGGTCCAATTTACCTATTTGTCTCTTGTGCTTTCAGGTCTTATATAAGAAGACTTTGCCTACCTAACCCAAGTAAAAAAAATA